ACACCAAGCCCCATTCATGCCCAGAAGAGGCAGCACCTTATTTGGACCTGGCTCACCTGACATCTGTAAAGATTGGGTACTTTAGTAGGGTGTTTTGGTAGGGCTCTGTGAAACAGCACTGTTTCATTTTGACTTCCATTTTGCTGTTTCGAAGGACAGTATTTTATTTTGCTGTTTCAAAGCACTGTTCTGTTTCATTTCATCAAAACTGTTTTGCTGTTTCAATGAGTTTCGATGTTTCGCCCATAGGCTATAATGGGGATTTACAAAAATGTCTATAACTTTGTCATTTCTTGCCTGATTTGGATGAAAATTGTGGAGATGGTAACCCTATGTGAGGGCATGAAGTCTGCCAAGTTTCAAGGAGACAGGTATGGGGTTTTTTGGGACACTGCAACTCAAACTGTTCCAAGCAAAACCAGTATCGTTTGCTGGTAGCAGCATCCAGCTGTCATCCCACACGCAGATCCAGGGGCTGCGTCCCCTGGGAGGAGTCTGGCACAGCCCTGCAGCCCTCCAAGGGGGCACAGGCCGCTGGATCTGCATGCAGGATGACAGCAGGCTGCCGCTGCCAGTTGGGGCCAGGGCCAGCACTAGGTTCTTCCCAGTGCTCAGCACAGACTGTGCCAGGTAGACTCAGGTGCTAGCGCTGGCCCCAGCCAGCAGCAGCAGCATGCTGTCATCCACATGCTCTGCAGCCGGTGAGTGTGGAGTTTTAAAAAAAAAAAGCCATGCATTTACCAGCTCCAGCAGCAGTGACTGGGGCCTCTGAGGGCTCATGGCAGAGCCCCCATGCAGCAGGGGGCAGCAGGGATTGCCACCCCCCTGGCACCCATGTGGCAGCTGCACCATCACATGGGTGTAGTGAGGGTCAGCAGGGTGGTGTGTGCTGTTTGGTAGCTGTGGTGGCTCTACCTGCTAGCTAGAGTTCCTGGTTTGATTCCCCAGCTCTCTGATCATTCCCCCAACTTTTCCCAGGGGATGTGGAGCTGCTGCTGGCTGGGGAAATAACCCAGAACCACCACCAATAGCTGGTAGCCATAGCCTCCTGTCATCCTGCATCATCTGGGGGCCTGGGAGGTTGAAACAGCTTTGCAATGAAACACCTGTTGACATTTTGCACAGCCCTACTTTTTAGCTCTTTTATCTATGATTGAATCAGCTTTAGCTAAAAGCACTGAAAAGCCCTGCTGAAGTGCCCTATCTATATAGATGCTGTCGAGCAAGGTTGAAATAATGTGCTGCTTCTTCTGGTGAAGCACTTTTTAAAAATGTCTGCAAGCAGCCCATATGTGGTAGAATCCTCCCAACTGACTGCACTCCCTCCGATATTTGCTGTTTCTGTACCATAAATGCATTGCACTTCTTCAAAAGATCTAAATATATTTTCTTTGAATAACTATGCAGATTATTTTTACATGGACATGTTCCCAGATGTTAATGCTTCCTAATGAATTATTACGGTTAAATTCAGTATTATTATGTATAGGTGCTAAAGGTGATGGTTTTGAACTTAATTTCTCAAATGTGTTATCCTAGGTTTTCACTGTTGTTTTCATGAAGGGGTGATTATATGTTGAATTTGGCCTGGAAGATTTCTTTAGCTATAGTAATATATAAGGGTTGACTATCCTTTTATAGGTGTTGAATTGCTATCTTTTAATTTAATCAATTGTGTCTCTGTGCTACATTATGAGATGGGGAGAACCTGATTTCTACAGGCTATTCATTATTTTATTACGTTCCTTCTTATTTATTTCTTTGTATAAGGTAAATAACTAGTCTTTTCAATTTCTCTTTACATGAGAAATTTTCCATGCCACTAATCATTCTCTCACCCTTCCATGAACCCTCTCTACTACTGCAATTAAATCTTGACCTATAAATATATATTAGTTCTGGTTTGCAGTTTTCTGATGTACTCACCATTAGCTGACTAGTGTTTTACCAAAGCTAAAGCAGATTTAAAATCCTCTTACAGGCTACAGTTCTGAGTGCAACAATTTTACATTAACTCATATAAACCTAGTAATAAGAAACCATGTATTGACTTTGATTTTCCCATCAGAGGTCACCAAAAAGTCATCATTCTTTATTATTGGCTATCAGTCAGTCACATGCGTTTAAACTAGAACCTTGAAATATGATATCCTTATTCTTATGGGATTTTGAGAAAGGGAAAAACAACTCTCAGATGTGACCTTTGGTGATTTTATTAGCTAGCACCCACTAAACAGAAATTGTAACCTATGATAGAAGCCTCCTGGGAAGGCCAAAGGACACATATGAATATAACTGAGCAAAGTTGGGC